TGTGAATGTTTACATGTTAACAATTAAACCATTTCAACATCTAATGTTTGTGTAGTATTATGTTCAGCAGACTGCGTTCTTCTATTGTTGTGACTTAGATGACGTTCAGAGCACATTTTATGCCCAATTCATGCAAAACGCCACGGAATCCCAACCACATACTTTTTCTTGCAACTGTATATATATATATATGATATAATATAGGAGCCCTAAGGACTAAGACTGGGATGCCATTAAAGTTCATATATGTGTAAAGGCAGGTGTCCCAATATGTTTGGCAATATAGTGTATATATGTTGTTGTGCTAATCTGCGGGAGGTCTTTTGCTATTGACTCTGCAGACAGTTGGCGACTTCATGCACACTGTGCACTTCAATGTGCAGGACCCCGCTCTGGTCATTTACAGTAGAAACACTTGGTGGCTGATCACTGTTGTTGCCAGTTGCTTCCACTACTGTTATAATACCACTAACAGTTGATTGTGGAATATTTAGTAGCAAGGAAATTTCATGCATGGACCTATTGCACAGGTGACAACCTGTCACGGTACCACACTTGAATTCACTGAGCCGACCCATTCTTCACAAATGTTTGTAAAGCAGTCTAACACCCCTGGGTGCTTGATTTTATACACCTGTGGCCCTGTGGCCATGGAGGTGATTGGAACACCTGAATTCAATGATTTGGATGCTGGGCCCATTTTTAGACACTTTAGTGTGTATACATATATTATATATATATGAAAAATGTACACACATGGGGTACACAGATGAGCGCATAAACAGTGAATAATCTAATATTGACGGTAGTCACCATTTTTCCATCAAAACAGCCCTCACCCAGTTCATATGACTGTGGCCGAAAGGAATGATGGGCTTGATGATCCAATAATGCAGCCGAATCCCATTCATTGACAGTGCAAGAGATTGATTAAAGCAATGCGCCTGACCACACAGGTGATAACAATACTTTTGTATGCAAAATTAACAGATAAAAAAAACGAAAAAAAGTGAAGCTACGTTTAGGGGATTTATTAAGAGCATAAGCAGTGAGCTAAAACAACAAGAACTCACATCGGTAAAAGCATACATCCACCCAATAGATAGGCTCCCTGGTGGTGAGTGGTTAGCAACAGCATGCCCATATAGATCCAGGATGAGTAATTTGTCATCCCATAGTTTACTTCATGTTTTTAAAACATATACTACTAGCCACCATATGTGATGACAAAGATACTGGACCTGGATGTATATGGTATTCCCATGCTGTTTGAACCACTCACCACCAGGGAGCCTATCTATTGGGTGGATGCCCTATGCTTTTACCGATGCTAAGTTCTTGTTTTTTTAACTGCTTATGCTCTTAATAAACGTACTTCACTATTAGCACTTTCTTGCCTCCCGGCTCGTTTTTTAATGAGCCTTGCAAGGTGGCGATTTGGATTTGAGAGCCAGAGGGGGCGTGGACAGCTTTGGACCTGTGATACAGATGTCCTCATATGACCAGATGCTGCCCAGGCTGCTGACCAGACCGTGACGTCCGGTTGCTGTTTATTTTGCATACAATGCTCATATTGTGTGTGTACTTGTGGTAAGCGCACAACCTTACTAATTTTCTCTTATTCTAATGAATGGGATTCGGAGTATTATTGGATCATATCCATCTTCCTTTTTGCCACATCATATGAACTATTGAATTATTATTATATATGGTGACACCGTTCTTGCTTGTTATTCACTGTTTAGCGCTACATACCCCAATTTACATTTTTACATTCTAAGGTATTGAGGATTACCCTGTATGTTAGCTGCTGCTCACTTGATCTGTTTGCGCTCACTTACCCACCTTTTTACATATATAGCATGGGTATGATGACCGGTCTACAGCTACGCTGTCCCATACACTACAAACTGCAATACCCATTTTTTTATGATTTCAGCAAATCAACATCAGGGACAACATGTTCACTTGCTGTCCAATAAATCCCACCGATGCCATTGTAACAAGATAATCATTGTTATTCACTTAACCTGTCAGTGGTCATAAAATTATGGCTGATTGGGGTATATACAGTATATATATATATATATCACACTGTGTATACATACATATATATATATATATACAAATATATATATATATATATATATATATTATATTTTTATATTTATATTATACTATATATATATATATATATATATATACTGACACTATCCCTTTCATAGACTGACCCTAAAAGTATAAAAATACATATAAAGTATTTATAAAGTATCATAAAATATTTGCAGTATGCCTATTTGTGCATTCTATATATTAATATGTATATTATTTACTGATTGTATTTTGCTCTTTAGTTTAACGCTACACAAATATTCTTACTTTCTAATAGCTGACAGCTATATGTTGCCTTTAATTGCATTCTTGGGTCTACAATGAATCCCCTTCCTAGTTTTGACTTGGGTGGATTCCAGAGTCCCTTTGACACATAGACCACAGAGTGCATTAGTGCACAGTGGTCCATATCTCATCATCTTCTTCAGTCTGGCAGGTGACTGCCAAATAAGTTTGCTGATAGTAACATTTGGAAATCTAGCATGAGCTTATTTTAAGAAAGGTAAATGGCAGAAAACAATTAATTAGGATGGCTGGGAAACACTCAGACTCTTTTAAGTGACATACACGTGCCAAAAGGCATCATCATTGGTTTGGCGAAGTGACACAAACAGCTGACAAACGTCGTTGATCATTCAGTAAATGTTCCTGTTGACCTCTTCACATAATATCTGCCTACAAAGTGTTCTGCTGGGGGAATCGTTCAACACTCGTCCATTCCAGTAGCACTTTATAGAAATGGATATAATGTTGCTGTAATATATATTACTTGCCAGCTTCACAGCAAAGCCTGCTATAAAGGGAATGCTTAATGACTTTGAAAATATTTTTTCTTTATTATGGTCAACAAAAATTAAATACTACTCTTTTTTATTATTAGATAATTTTTAACTACACCCCACCTAGGCCAATGCTAACATTTCTCTCCTACATGTAAAAATCATCAATTTTTGCTAGAAAATTACTTAGACCCCCAACTTTTATATACCGTATTTTTCGCTCCATAAGACGCACCTGACCATAAGACGCACCTAGGTTTTAGAGGCTGAAAACAGGAAAAAAAATATTCTGAACTAACGGACTGCGGACATAGTACAGGAGATGACCAGAGACTGCGGACACAGTACAGGAGATGACCAGAGACTGCGGACACAGTACAGGAGATGACCAGAGACTGCGGACACAGTACAGGAGATGACCAGAGACTGCGGACACAGTACAGGAGATGACCAGAGACTGCGGACACAGTACAGGAGATGACCAGAGAGACACCGTACAGGGGATGACCAGAGACTGCGGACACAGTACAGGAGATGACCAGAGACTGCGGACACAGTACAGGAGATGACCAGAGACAGCGGACATAGTACAGGAGATGACCAGAGACTGCGGACACATTACAGGAGATGACCAGAGACTGCGGACACAGTACAGGAGATGACCAGAGACTGAGGACAGCACAGGGATGACCAGAGACTGCGGACAGCACAGGGATGACCAGAGACTGCGGACAGCACAGGGATGACCAGAGACTGCGGACATAGTACAGGAGATGACCAGAGACTGCGGACACAGTACAGGAGATGACCAGAGACTGTGGACAGTACAGGAGATAACTGCTGACCTTTGGGGAGGGGGGGGGGAGCGGGTACCTGAATTTTACAGGTACCCGCTCTTACTTCCGCGGAGTTGTTCTTTGACCTTACCTGTTCCTCTATCCAGCGGCGCGCTGTCTTCCCGGCTTCTGTAGTGTGGGCGCTCGACTTGACAGCTGGGTGCCCAGTGCGCATCAGCAAGAAGCGCTGCGCTTTGTGATTGGTCCGGCGGCTTCTGGGACCTGTCATGTGTCCCAGGTGCCGCCTTACCATTCACAAAGCGGACCGCTTCTTGCACATGCGCACTGGGCACCCGGCTGTCAAGCCCAGCGCCCACACTACAGAAGCCGGGAAGACAGCGCGCCGCTGGATAGAGGAACAGGTAAGGTCCCGCTGCAAAGCTGAGCGGCCCGGGCCCGGTATTCTGACATGGCGGCGGTGGAAATACCAGACCTGCCGCTCCATATTCGCTCCATAAGATGCACTGACATTTTCCCCCCTTTTTTGGGGGAAAAAAAGTGCGTCTTATGGAGCGAAAAATATGGTATATTTTAAGCAGAGGCCCTAGAAAATAAAATGGTAGGTGTTGCAATTTTGTATGTAACATGGTATTTGTGCAGCGGTTTACCCATTTTTTGGTAAAATATAAAAGATGATGTTACGCTGAGTAAATAGATACCTACCTAACATGTCACGCTTTAAAATTGTGTACACCCGGGGAACAGTGCCAAACTACAGCACCTAAAAATCTCTATAGGCAACACTTTAAAAACCTTTATAGGCTACCAGTTTAGAATTACACAGGAGGTCTGCTGCTAGAATTATGTCTCTCGTTCTGATGTTCGCTGTGATACCTCAAATGTGTGTTGGGATCAGGGGCGGACTGACAACTCATGGGGCCCCCCCGGGCAATAGGGGATCATGGGGCCCCTGTGTCCTTGCCCAAACTCAAAAAAGCCTATGAAAAAGGCACCAGGCGCATCTCATGGGGCCCACTACTGATCCCAGGCCCTCGGGCAGTGCCCGAGTTTCCAAATGGTCAGTCCGCCCCTGGGTGGGATCGTCGTTTACATATACATGCAGGACTGACGCATGCATTGACCTTTACGTGTGAGTACGGTGGGACGGTGGCATGTACCTTAGATTGTACACGCCCTACCTTAGATTGTACGCCCCTACCTTAGATTGTACGCCCCTTGAGGGTTAGGACTGATGTGAATGTACACTATATATATGTGTAAAGTGCTGCGTAAACTGACGGCGCTATATAAAGTACCTGAAATAAATAAATAAATGTACATACATACACAGACACATGTACGTACATACACACAAACACACACACACATGTACATGCACACACACACAGACACATGTCCACATAAATGTACATACACGCAGACACATGTACAGATACACACATGTACATACACACATACACATGTACATGCATACACAGACACACAAACACACATACACACACACACACACTGTTAAGTGCTCTCTCCTCTCCCCTGAAGCCAAGACTGGCTGATATAGAGGATCATGTGACCAGAGTGAGCTGAAATAAGGCGCGCACACACACACCCAATAAAAAGTTGCAGTACTTCGTTGTTCACTCACAGAGCCGGGTACTGCACTCTAGGGGGAGGCAGAGAGCACAGCACACACTCCTTCCTTTGCTTTCACTGCTCTCAGCTATTGAGCAGTCTGACGGCTTCCAGTGCCAATGACAGATCCGGCCTGAGCTCCGAGCCTGCTCAGCAAGACAGCCCTGGGGGGGACACTCACCCCCACCATAATTTCCACTCGCCATTGGCGAGCAGGCGAGTGGAAATTTCAAGGCCTGAGTTAAGGTATCAGGAGTATTTTCAGGAGTACAAGTACTCCTGAAAATACTTGTTATTGGCACCAATACTGATACTGGTATCGGTGCATCCCTAATTTTTACACTGTCTCTTTACATTTTTTATCACTTTTATTGCTGACACAAGGAATGTAAAAATCCATTGTAACAACATTGAGCAGTGACAGGTCCTCTTTACTGTCTCCTCTGACCTTAACAGCATCAGGTCAGGCCAAGATTGGTCTGATCTGATGCTTGTACTGGACGCCAATGGCAAGCAAACATAAGAAGGAAACCAGAAGTGACAAAATACTCATAACTAACGGTTTCTAATATCATAGAGATGATCAGGGACCTTCTGGTTCCCAAACAGTTATATAGCACGCTGGTGAAATGACCCCTCCCGTTGCCTGTAAAAGCAATCCAGTGGCTAACTAGCTGCTAGGGTGGCTTTTACTTAAAAGAGAATCAGCTGACCTAAGAAACAATACCAGGATGATGCCCCTGTAGCTGTAGGCATCATCCTGGTATAACTACTGAAAGTCCAGGACATCGTATGACATCCTATGGATGGGAAGTGGTTAAATATTGCACATTAATATTTTGTATTCTCTCTTTGAGCCAGAAAGTGGAGCTTTGGCCTCATTTTTGCATGTTCCTCTATCGCTTTTCCCAAAACCTGTTTTCTACAAAAGTCAATAACTTAAGATAAAGTTTACATACATAAAAAATTAGGCAAAGGGGTGATTGATCATACTGAATCCTCCCTTACCAGTTGCTTGATCTGAGGTTTAGACAAAGCCAGGTGCGGACTGACCATTTGGAAACTCGGGCACTGCCCGAGGGCCCAGGGTCAGTAGGGGGCCCCATGAGATGCCCCTAGTACCTTTTTCATAGGCTTTTTTGAGTTTGGGCAAGGACACAGGGGCCCCATGATCCCCTATTGTCCGGGGGCTCCATGAGTTGTCAGTCCACCCTTGGACAAAGCTATCCCTAAGTTTCCTTATTGTCTCTTTCACCTCTTCCCACCACCATAATGTGTTTATGTGGTAGCAGGGTGGGTGAGGCTTAAAACCCAACTGGTCCATGGAGGTCCGAAGTTGAGTTCTGAGAACACAATCACTATGTTCTTCCAGCACACTAACTGAGCTGTCACTGACAGCTCTTGGTCTCTGTTTGTGTTTGGGAGCCAGAGGGACAGGCTCATGATCATGTGACCACTGTGGGAGCCAACCACAGTAATCATATAATTGCAATACTACCATCCAACGTTAATATTCATGTAAAGAGAAACCAAGAGGCAGCACGCAGGGTTAAAGTGGTTCTAAGGCTTGGTTCACATCTGTGCAGGTGGTGCCACTGCAGCCACACCACCCATGCAGAGGAATGCAGGACCTGCAGGCAGATGCCATTAATTCTAATGGCACACCATCCCCACTGGAAATCACAATCGTACTGGGAACCTCAGTTTTAGTGGGGGCTGTGACTTCCCATGTTGTGCAGGAACTTATTCCCTGTGTGTCCCAGGGCACGGGAGTCCATGCAAGTGAATTGGCTCTTGTGCCTGTGCAAATCATGGACTTCATGGCCGCACATATGTGAACCAGGGGCCTAGGCAGGTTTTTAACCTTAATGCATTCTATACATTAAGGTAAAACCTTCTGTGTGCAGCTCCCCCTTATACTTTTCCTAAGCCCTCTCACGATCCAGCAATGTGCATGAGGGCCACGTCTCTCTAAGGTCTCTTTCTCCTCATTGGCTCACACAGTAGTGTGAGCCATTGGCTCCTGCTGCTGTTAATCACAGCGAATGAGTTAATGAGGAGGGGGGGGGGGGCATTCCGTGCTCTGCGTGTAAAGAATGCACAATGTACATATGCAGGAGCAGGTCTTGGGAGTGAGCCTGCTTAAGTGCCCCCATAACAGGAGGCTTGCTGTTAGGAGCCTTTGATAAGGAGGAGGATCCAGGAACGCTGCCGGGGGAACCAAAAATAAGAGGATCGGGGTTACTCTGTGCAAAACCATTGCACAGTGCAGGTAAGTATAACATGTTTTTTTTTTGTTTGTTTTTTTAATTACAACCTTTAGAATCACTTTAAGTAACATTTTTAGTGCTCTGTGAAGCTTATACTATGCATTATTTTTTTTAATTATTATTATTATGTATTTATTTTTAAAACAAAAAATGTGTGTGCAATATATGTTTTAAAACAGATAAAACAAACATTGTAACACATATTATATTAAACTTGTTCCAAAACAATTTTAACTTACTCAAAAATGTTTTTTTTTTTTTTTTTTTTTTTGCGGATTCCTGATAGTTGCTGTAAATCAGCCACCAGTTACTTATGTGTATTTCATGAGTGGTGTGATAACTATATGGGACATTTCAAGACGCCTACTAGATGTACTCATCATAAGGGAGTGTCAGTCTTCCAGGGAGGTTTACAAGGCAGGAAGGAAGACAGCTGGGAAAAGAGATGGAAATTCAGGAATATCTCATAACTGGAGTGTCCAGAGAGATGAGACGTTGATGGAAATTCAGTCCACCTGCATCCCCCTAATTACTGAAATATTAATTTTGGCCAGGCTGAATCTTTCAAAGTACAAGTACAAATATAAAAAATATAAACAGTAATATTTTTGCACAGAAAGTGTTGCGTTCTACAATTACGGAAGTGTATACACACCATTGGAAGCATATACTTGCACAGCGCAGAGACATGGAGTCAGATGAGCAGACTTGGACAGATTTCTTCTTATCAGACTTAGGGTTACATCAATAGCTTCCAATTTTTGGGCCTTTTCCCCCAAACCGTCCATCTAAAATAATAATTAAAAAAAAAAAAAAACTATGTGTTTCAGAAGCTTATTACAAAGATCATCAAAGTAGTATATGTAACTTTCAACAATTTATACCAAAGGGCCATAAGCATTTTTTTTTTTTTGCGGGGGGGATTCCGTAAGAGACACAATAGTTCAATTTTCATATATCTTTCATGTGTACACAACTTTAGACATCCGATTCAGACTTTTCAAACAAAAATTTCTGAAGGAACAAACTCTAAAATGTTTCTCATACATACAGTAAACAGAACTAACACATTTGGCTTAATGTGTACTGTTTTCATGCGGTTTTTGTACAAGAAAAATCAAATACGTAAGACTGTGCATGATCAAAAACAATAAGCAACATAAAACCTGCTGTTGGCTGACGTCCCTCAGCAGGTCCAGGCTCAGGAAAGATGTCGACCATATGGTCGGGATCTACCCAGGAGCCTGGACCAACAACCTGGCTTAGCCTTTCAGTGAGCCACTGAGAACCTGAGCCAGCCACTCCCTTCCCCTTCACAACCCAGAGCACCAGTGAGCACTGGAGGGACAGAGCAAAAGTCCGGTCACCAGCTGTCTGCTCACTGAAGAGCTCAATGATCAGCGTTTTTTATTTTCTCAGCTCTCTGTCTTAGAGGTGGTGGGGGACAGATGTATCTGGGATCAATGCTGCAGCCACGTCGGTGAATATAACTGTTTGATTTTTTTCAGTTCCCATACGTCTCTTTGAAAGTAATTTCTGCTGTAAACTTTGCAGAGGAATTACTCCACAAATCCTGCAGGTACAGAGGTCAGTTGGGGCTCATTTCAAAGCTCTGTTACTGTTTGTTAAGAATATGCAAATATCTGAATGGCCATACCTTGACTTGGCTTTTAATGTATACCGTACTTTTATATTAATGTTTTCAAGATCTGCAGCCAAATTAAACCCTCTCTATTCAAAAACAAGTATAGTATGCCCAAGTAGGTTTCAAAGACAAAAAAAATAACATTTTGACTTTTATTTACCTGTTAATCCACCAAAAAAGAATTATTTAGGAATTATACTGAGTTAATGTGATGCTATATGCACAAATCAGCAGTTATTTCTGGTACTTTTTTCTTTAATAACATGATTGCTATGCAAGAAATTAGGTTCATACATTTTGGGTGACCAAATATGAAGAATCCCATAGATACAGTACCTCTCTGGCCCACCTTGACCATCAATTGGATAAGGGGTATAAGGAGGCTGTAGTCAATGGACTCTGATCTTGCTAGATTTACCAAGGTTTGAAGTAAGGCCTCGCTTCCTCCCTTGGATATCATGTAGTGAATTCGGCGATGCGTTCCTTTGGTAGGAAGATAATAGAAGAGTCCTTGATTATAGTCAATTATGATTTAAAACACAACACCACAATATTTCATTTTGTTGTTCTGTAGTGAGCTACATTCCAAAAAAGTACCAAATTCAGTACTCAATTCAAGAATGCACAGTGCTACATATATATTTTTTTTATAGGTCAGCAGTCTAACAATGCCTCCATGAGCAGCCTTGTATGGAATTATTAGTCAAATGTAAGTTACAGCATTAGCAGCACCCAGTAAGAGCTGGGTCACACTAGCCTGTGCCTACAAAGTTGCTCCCTTAGTGGCCAAAAGGGTGCTCATCTTTGGTCACCGAGAACTCATATTGAAAAATATGTTTGGTTGTAAAGTTGATCCAGCATTTTCAGTTCCTTTTGGGTAACGAGTCCCGATCAGAAATACAGATCAGCAGTTCTGACTTTTTCTGATTTCACAAGAAGCATGCTTGTTCCAGTCAATTGACCGAAAAACCACTGTACTGGCTTAAAACAAATGTAGCGCTCTCCATGGGAAAAAAATACAGGTTCTCCCATAATAGAACAGAGACTACCTGACCCAGACAGTTCCAAGCACACCGACAAATGCAAGCTCAGTCTATGAGATGTCTTTTTAATGGACCTATTGCAGAATTCAAACAGGGGGAAAGAGAAGAGGGTGCAGATTACTCCAATAACATAAGCAACACATATTAGGAGGATATACTTTAAGCAGGATCCTCTAGATTCAGCCTTTTCTGGGGTGGAAGGGGATGCTCAATTAAACTGGGTCTCTATGCGAGCAGCCCCAGTCCTTACAGCAACCTCTGGCACTTACTTTCCCAAGCACATGCACAC